CCTGTTTACGACCCAATCAGACCCAATCTGACGATGCTGCCAGGATGATGAGCGAGAAACGTAATGAACTCGGCCCATTGCTGGTTGATAATTGGCTTTAGGCGCACCGGCGGTGGTGTCTAGTTGTACCGGGTGGAAGGCTGGGCTTGATTATCCAATTTGGACTCGGCAGCGACAAGGCTAACCCGAAATCACTACTGGAATGAAGATAAAAAAATTGGCAGGCGACAAAAATCCCTGTTTTGATGTTTTATCTAACTTGGTATGGAGCAACCTCACATAAGCCGTAACTTTTCATTCAAACTCAGCCCCTTTGTCAATTTGCAGCTGGATTTTGGTTTCTTTGACCATACTCCATCAGGCGGTGCATTGAGAGAGGGCTGTGCGCGTCATGTATATGCGTGTACAAAGCCACTCGTCTAGCCTTGTCACAAAGGTGTCCCCAAAGCCATTCCTTTACCGCCTCGTCGCAAACGCGCCTAGCCTTGAGAATACACTCAGGCTGGGTGTGTGATCTGCCAATGTTACATTGCGACTGTGTGTGAAGAACAACGCGTGTAGGGTTGTATCAATCCTGGACGAAGGCTCCCACCACCGCGCCATGTTGTTGGGCATGGAGCTTGTCTGACCATACTTCACCACGCTGGTCACTGCGGGTTGGTGACGGATAGGATGGTCGCCAGAAACCGGTCCAGACGTCACTCGCCACTGACGCTTGCCGTGCCCGAGGAGCTGAACTCCTCGGGCAGCCGGACTCACAGGGGCAGTGCTATACCCAATTCACAGCACTGCTGTGCGCACGCAACTCGGATCTCCACTGAGAAAATAGCAGGGCAACTGGCTAAGCAGGATCATCCGTGTAACAAACAACGTAAACTTAACCCGCCTCCCCCCTCCGGTAACGTGACATTGGCTGTGTCGGGTGGTGGCGAGCCAACGACACATTCATATTTACGCGAACTAACCCAAAAGACCACCTTTATTATGGATGACCAAACTATTAGCTGACATCTTGGATATTAGCGTGTGGGTATACGCATCTCCAAATATGACCAATACATTGTCATTAAAATCTCACATCCGTGACCAATGTCACGCGACACGCTATCGTCTTTAACATCGAGATTAATGAATGGGAGAGCCAGCATAATTGATGGTTTTCCGTAGCATATTATTACGGTGGAGTGGTGGGGGGGGGGGCGGCATTCAGAGTGACGAGCCGCTCCTTTGACAAGTGCGACACTGCGTTGGCAGTGCATTGGAAGTGTCGCACAAAATACAAACACCCACGAGGAGACGTTGCCAGCTTGAAATTATCGTTGTATGGCCGCGTTGTTGGTGACCGTGTTGAGTTTTTGTCGGTTTGCGATTTTAAAACCGTGGCAAGCACTCCAGTAGATCATCCAGTGGTAATGTGTCATTTCGTAAAACGATGTCTGCCGAGTTTACCAACCACTGGCTGAGCGCGACACGGGGAGTCAATCCACCCCCTTCACTCTGCGCAGCATAATGTCGCTTGCAAGAGACGATTACTATTACAACGTGCACTGGAGGCAATGGTAAAGTCTACGTCTTCATTCAATGCCCTTTGTTTAAAGGGGGCTTTTAGAGAGACAGTGCAGGGGGGATTATATTCCTGTGCTGTGCACATTTTTATTTTTATGTGTTTATTAAATTATTGACCGCCAAACGTAATTAAACATTTGCATAACTGATATGCCCCGCATACATGCCTGCTATTGTTGTTGCTGTTTCTGCATAGCTACGTGCAGTCCTGTATCTACATATGGATGCTGCAATGGTATAATATCTAGCAGACTGGACTTGCAATCTAGAGGTCACCGGTTCAATCTCCCGGAATGGCAGTTGAAGCAATTGGAAAATTTCTTAAATCCCCCGGTCTCTGTCCACCTAGCAGAACGCATGGGCAGTTCGCGTGTGGTGGTGTAAATATTCGATACTCCCCTCTTTTCCATGACGTCTAGTGAGGAAGAGTAGGCCAAAATAGCCTAGAGGAGGGGCTCTATATAAAGCTCCCTCCAGTGGAGGCCGTTCCACCAGCAGTGGCACGAGGAGGCAATTGCAGAGCTGCACCCACGAGCTGCACCCACGATGAACCAGTATACGCTGCTGCTCCATAGCTGCATTTATCCCCGTGTATATACATTGTACACAAGTCAATAAATAATCAAACATATTTACAAAAAACCCCGCAAACATGTAATATCACGAGCGTCGTTTAGCTATTTAATGTTGTTGGTATGGTTATTACAGCATCATACAATGTTACTGTTGTGACCGGGGCAGAGCGATGCAACAATGCATAGAGTGTTAAATCATTAGCAAGGATATTCTCAGAAATCATTTCACACACTGGCACCATAAACGTCATTATGTTACTTCCTAATTAAAAGAGGGTCTTAATTGATTAAACACTGTGTAACAAAAACATTTATATTTTTTGTTCCTGGGTAGTAAGTGTTATTTTCGAATTGCTTATGCCTCAAAAGTACAGAAAATTGCTTATGTGACCAGGACAGTGATATTTTGAAATGTACCTATTTTCAATGAGAAAACGTGGTGTGCATTTGTGTCATTCCTTCACGTAAAGTCCTGGTCACAAAAGCAAGGTTTGTGGGGAATAATAGCCATTTTATATACTTGTGAGGCATAAGCAATTAGAAAATAACACTGCCCAGGAACAAAAATCGTGTTACAAAGTGAATTCTGGTTATTGTCCACTTGGCCCAGTTACATGAATACATTCTCTCCTCGCAACTGTTTCATCCTCTGTGATTGTTTTTCTATCCGTGCCAAAACAAGAATGCCGTGACCCTTGGTACGTGTAAGCCATGCTGCGTACTGCACAAGACTGAGGAATGAACAGAACGTGTGTTTGTTTAAACATTTCGGTGTAAGCAACACTGTTTTGTATACAATGTAAAAGGTAAGAACCCAATTTAAATTAATTCCACTGCCACGTTTATATTTTCCACTTGTATAGCGCTTTTCCTTTCTTCACATGAAAGTTGCTTCATGAGGATTTGGAGAGGGATGTCACGGCTGGCTTAGAGCACAGCGCTATGACAGAGGCCACCCGAGTTCGATTCCCGGCCACGGCTCGACATCAACGACGGGTGAGGGACGAGTCAGACAGTCCCTGTCTGGCCCTCCCCTTCACCAACCATCACTGACCAGCGTGGTGAAGTATGGTCAAACTACCACCACCGACATCCGGCCATGAATTGACAATTGGCTGCACAAACATTGAACCATGTTTCCCGATTCGGTCACAATTCGCGTCTTTAACCCTCCACCACCCGCCACAGTTGTCACGTTAACTAAGATTTATTTCGAGTGTGCTCATTGATCAAATTCTCACCACAATTGTCCCGAGGTGGAGGGGTTAATGACGATAATTTTGGCAGAAAACTACCACGCGGTCGAACCCAAGAAGAAAGACAAATACGTATAATTGTATTGGCTTCGAGAAAAACAAACCTACGTTTTAAGTTGGCCTTCTCGTGTAACAGTCCATGCAGTCTATAATTGTACAAGGGCGCCCTCTGCATCGCAGTGCCTGCCACAGATTTCCTCGGGACTCGCACTGGAGCCTTGGGTTTTAATTATTACTCAGCCATTAAGCGTCAACACATATCAAATGCCCCAACGATTGAGCGTTGAAATGACACCACCGATCCTGGCGGAAGTTGAAGTCATAACAACAACACACGCGACAAAGGCCGCTGCCACATTTCAAAATCGCACGCGCGCAAAGCTACAGTCACCACATTGGGGTTGTCCGATGTGTTGTCGGGGTTGTACAGCGTGTTGTTTGGCGTGTCCGACGTTTCGCGCCACGTGCCGGGAGCTTCTTCTGGACTCTCAGCGCATGGAGCCCTGGTTTTGCGTGTGTGTCTGACCGACCGGCCTGCCCAGATACACAAGTATCGACAGACAGTAGATGCAGATACAAAACACAAACCGGGGGGAAGAGGGGAGGAGAGAACTGCCAATAAGATGGAGCGAAACGTCGGACATCATACCGAACAGCACGTGGTGCGGTGCAACCAAAAAAGAACACTTCGGAGAGCGAGATAGAGTGTAGGCAGCACACCGCAGCACACCCACGAGTAGCCGCCTACAGAGTGACCTCGCGTTTGCTCTTCGCAACGGCACTACCCCTTGCCTTCCCAGCCACTTTAGCCAAGCGCCAGTGGTGGTGGTGGAGCGAGCGAGTCACTTCGCCCACCACCACCACGACGCCACTGCGGCCACTGCGGCCACGCGTGGACAGACGCGCAGGCGTCACCGGCCGGACACTCGCAACACACAACGCCGCTCCAGCCTCGCGCACACACACAAAGATAAAGACACCCGCCCCGTATAGCCTTGGCAGACTGTTGGGGCAAGTGCGGTTAGCGGAGCACCTATGAAGACCCGCCAAGACCAGCACCACCGCCTTGACCGCCTTTGTCTCCCCAGTGGCGATGTTTACACACCGGACCGGGTACTCGTTTAAGGCTGAGTCGACCTAGAGCAGGCCGGTTCAGATAATCGTCACCGGTGTTGGCCGTGAGTGGGAATCGAACTCGGGTGGTCGGGTCCGTAGCGCAGCGCGCTAGCCGCGACTATAGGCTACTCCCCCCACCCACACACACCCACACACACACCCACACACCGACACACACAAGGGCGGGCAGACGGACACGCGGCACGTCCCGTGAATAGCAGCGCACACCCAGCCAGCCTCGTCCACGCCCCTCCTCCCCCTCCCCCCACACGCAACCTTCATTCATGCCCCACACACCCAACCCCGACACACATCCCACCCCCCAGCACACCCCCGCGCCCCCCCGCACCCCGCAGCACCTCCCTGGCGACTCCTTCACCCCCCCAGCTCCCTCCTCCTCCTCCTCCCCGTCGCGTCGCCCATCATCGCCGCTCTCCCATTCGCCGGGACGCTCCTCTGTGGGTTATGCAAATGTGCCCGGGCACGCGTCGCTTTATTCCGAAGCCCACCACCACCAGCATCATCATCAGCAGCACCACCACCAGCACCACCACCAGCATCATCATCATCAGCAGCAGCACCACCACCGCATCATCAGCAGGGTTTTGTGCCGTCGCTTGCCGAGCCGCAGCATCATCGTGCTATCGGGTTGCCGGGAGGAGGAGGAGGAGAGGGGGCCATGTGGACAACAACTCAGCCGCTTCCTTGCCCAGACTCTTTCCGTGTCCACGCCTGTGCCCGCCTGCGCTAGGCAGCCTCCCTCCTCCCTCTCCTCGTCACAGGCGCACTTGGCAGGCGGCAGGCAGAGGAACACCCCGCAGAGAGAGAGAGAGGCTGCGTCTAGTAGCACAGGGAGAAGTAACTGTCGACACCGCGGCGCAGAGATATCGATACGTAACGCAGACAGCGCGAGAGACGCGTGGAGATACATGAGAGACGTGGGGGGGGAGAGACACGATACACAGAGACACGATACAGAGACACGATACAGAGAGACAGGTGGCTAGGGGGGGGGCGAGAGAGGGAGACGGCGGGACACGCGAAACGGCGCTTCTGGAAGCAGCAGGAGGAGGAGGAAGAGTTTGTGTTGACTCGAGAGGAGTTTGTTTGTGTTGACTCAAGAGTAGGCGACTTGGCTGGGGAGGGGGTACACGCGTGGTGCTGCTGCTGGTGCTGTGCACGCCGCACCGAGACGACTCGTGGGGCCAGCAGCAGCAGCTGTGGTGCCACTGCTGCTGCTGCTGCTGCAGTGGCTGTGTTGTGTCCGCTCGGCCGTCTCCACCACCACTCCCACCACTACCACCACCACACACACTCCCACCACCACCACTCCCACCACACACACACACTGCCTTGCTCTCTGCGCGGTCGTGACATTTCCTCGCCTCCACTAGAGACGACCACCAGCCGCTACTGGCGGCTGTGACAGCAGCAGCAACAGCAACAAGAGCAGCAGCAACAACAACAGCAGCAACAACAACAGGAGCAACAACAGCAGCAGCAACAACAGCAACAACAAGAGCAGCAACAGCAACAACAACAGCAGAAGCAGCAACAACAAGAGCAGCAACAACAGCAACAACAAGAGCAGCAACAACAACAGCAGAAGCAGCAACAACAAGAGCAGCAACAACAGCAACAGCAACAACAAGAGCAGCAACAACAGCAACAACAAGAGCAGCAACAACAGCAACAGCAACAACAAGAGCAGCAACAACAGCAACAACAACAATAGCAGCAACAGCAACAACAACAGCAACAACAACAACAGTAACAGCAGCATCAGCATCGTGTGAGCTGCTGCTACTGCTGCTGCTGCCGCCCGTGTGAGTGCTCACTGCGTGCGAGTGAGTGCTCACAGCGCCGACTCGCCAGCGACGTCGTGAACATGTCGGGGGACATGTTCCTCGCCAAGAAGGCGGCGGCGGCGTCGGCGTCGCCGTCGGCTGCGTCGAGTTTGCAGTTCCACAACGCGGAGAACGACGCGAGGAGCAGCCGCAGCAAGAGCACCGACTGGCAGGGTCTCTACTCCACCATCCGGGAGAGGTGCGTCGTGACACGCGACATCACTCCGCGGCGGTGGCGCGCGTTGTTGTTGTGAGTAGATGGGCGATGATTTCAACACGAGTGTTGTTATTTAACACATTAATGTGTATATCGTACGAGACGTCTGGGCAGCGTGGAAGAATCGGTCAGACAATACCGCGACTCGAAGGGACACCAAAGAGTCCCGGTCTCGTTGAGGTCCTTCTGCTAGCGGCAGCGCGAGCAGGCAATTGCAGTGATGCGCCTTTACCTGCTCCTCTTAATAATCTCCCGGCCTCGAGTCTCATCTCGGTCGGCTAAGCCGGAGGCTCCACCCGGGTCTGCCCCGTCACCTCTTGCCAGCGAGCCTGTGACACTTCGCGTGGCCTGAGAGTGCACCTAGCCTGGCACAAGCGTCGTGGTGACATCGCCGTCACTTCGAGGCTGTTGTGGTGACGGCTTTTGTTTACTGCCGGATCGCAAATCAGATGGCGGACTTTCTTAGTTCGCTCATTGTTTGTTGAGTGAACTCGGTGGTGGTTCGTGAACCAGGCGACTTGAGATTCCCTTCCACGGCTACCATCATCGGCGAGCGAGAAATGTCCAAACCAGTCCCGTAACTCACTCTCCACCCCAACCCACTCCCCCCCCACCTCTTCATCAACACGCATTGGCCAGGGTGGTGAAGTATGGATGAGCGGCGTGGGAAGGGCTTTCAGCCAGCAGTGGATTGACAAAGTAATGTCGCTCCGATGTAGCTCGAGTAAAACGGGCTCAAACGAAACTAGTTACACGATGGGCAAGACAGGGACCATGTCTGTAGTAGCTGCAGTGTTGTTTTGTGCATGTCCGTGTGACTTGGTGTGAGTAAATACAGACAAAGCGTTCCCTTTAAAGTTGCATTTTGTACCGTATCGAGCGGTGGCGCAGTGCTTAGCGCAGCGCACTTTGAACTCGGGGTTCGAATCCCTGCCACGGCCGGCAGCCGTGACGAGCTATATCCGAACCGGTCGTGTGCCTCTCCTAGATCGGCTCAGCCGTGAATGAGAACCTGGTGCGGTGTGCAGAGCCTCGGCACTGGGGAGACAATTGCCCCGTCAGCAGTCTTGTGAAGCCGACACGGGGGATCTTTGTCTGTTTGTGTTATTCAGGCGCGCACACGACTGGAGACAATGCCGACCGCACTTACCTCCTCCCACTGCCCCCCTCCCATACACGGCGGACGGCGCCTGCCTGCCTCGCTCCCCACTGCCCAACTGCGCTGCTGCTGTGCTGCTGATGCGTCTTACTCGCTGCCCTCCTGACGATGGCTTTTCTTCTGCCACGAGATTGCCGATAAATCAGCGCGTGGGACATCGACTCCAAACACTTGGCGCACGCTTTTCCAGAGCCTCACCACCACTCACCCCCCTGTCTGTATCCCTTTTTATTTAGACGTGAACGCCACGGTCATGTTCGTGGCCGTTTAACACGTGGGCGTTCGCGACCAATATCATCAATAATATAGTGTCCTTTCTCCACAAGTCTGGCTGTCCGCCTGATGAAGCTAGTTGCAATTACTGGCGAAACGTCGTACTCGGATTGTAAATATTGTGGCTTGGCTCTCCAACACACCGGTTAGCAGAGGTGTGGACTCGAGTCATGTGACTTGGACTCGAGTCAGACTCGAGTCATGAATTTGATGACTTCAGACTCGACTTGGACTTGCATAACAATGACTTTGTCCCACCTCTGAGGTGTGGACTCGAGTCATGTGACTTGAACTCGAGTCAGACTCGAGTCATGAATTTGATGACTTCAGACTCGACTTGGACTTGCATAACAATGACTTTGTCCCACCTCTGCCGGTTAGTGCTGTACTAGTACACTACACTATACACTACACTATACACTACTATACACTAGTGCTGTACTAGTGACGAATTGGCCACGTTCTGTTCACGTGACCCCCTTACTAGTGGGCAGTGTTCACGTGACCACCCTTACTAGTGGGGTGTGATCACGTGACCCCGCTTACTAGTGGGGTGTGATCACGTGACCCCCCTTACTAGTGGGCAGTGTTCACGTGACCCACTTACTAGTGGGCAGTGATCACGTGACCCCCCTTACTAGTGGGCAGTGTTCACGTGACCCCCCTTACTAGTGGACAGTGTTCACGTGACCCCCTTACTAGTGGACAGTATTCACGTGACCATCCCTTACTAGTGGGCAGTGTTCACGTGACCACCCTTACTAGTGGGCTGTGATCACGTGACCACCCTTACTAGTGGGCAGTATTCACGTGACCCCCCTTACTAGTGGGCTGTGATCACGTGACCCCCTTACCTAGTGGGCAGGATCACGTGACCCCCTTACTAGTGGCAGTGATCACGTGACCCCCATTACTAGTGGGCAGTGTTCACGTGACCCCCCTTACTAGTGGGCAGTGTTCACGTGACCCCCCTTACTAGTAGACAGTGTTCACGTGACCCCCCCTTACTGGTGGGGTGTGTTCACGTGACCCCCCTTACTGGTGGGGTGTGTTCACGTGACCACCCTTACTAGTGGGCAATGATCACGTGACCACCCTTACTAGTGGGCAGTGATCACGTGACCACCCTTACTAGTGGGCAGTGATCACGTGACCACCCTTACTAGTGGGCAGTGTTCACGTGGCGGTGGTGTCGCGGTTTGCGCACTTCGTGACGAATCCGGTGACGATTATCTGAACCGGTCCTGGGTCTCCCTTAGGTCGACTCAGCCTCAAATGAGTACCTGGTGCGGTGCGTAGTAAACATCGCCACTGGGGAGACAAAGGCGGCCGGGCGTGGTGCTGGCCACCCACCCCCTCGTGTGCCCTGCCGGTCTTCGTAGGCACTCGCAAACAGCACTTGCCCCAGCGGGGGGCGTCTTTGGTGGTGCTGGGTGGTGCGGGAGATGCTTCGTCTTCTTCACTCCGCAGTGCAGACCAACACAAAGTTTATCGCCGCCCTCCGCATATTCATATCGCGCTCTGCCACGACGAAATGATTTCACTCCGAGTGAAAGGCTTTCACCCACACACACCCCCACACAGTCGCTTTCGAGAAGGAGGCGTTACCCCATTTGTTGTCGTTCCCGGAACGATGATCAAGTGACGTCATTGACGGGTCGTGATTGCATGGCAGAGTTCAGTACAAATAGACCCCCGACATTATCAAGACCACCCCAGTCAGTAGCATGACCCTGCTTTAAAGTGTGCTGTGTGTGGGAGATACAATAATAACACAGGGGGTGGGTGAGTTTGGGGGGGGGGGGGGGTGCAGTCATCGATGTTGAACACACTTGAAATAATGAGAGAGTAAGGAATGAGTGAGTAAGGATACCATGCGGCTCTTTGTCGTGATTTCTGCTCTGGCTCCTTAGCGGGTGCTGCACGTGACTCACCACCGTGACGCCCATCACTCAGTGGCAATTGCTGGTGTTAAACGTTGCACCAACATTGTATGATTTGATTGTCAGGATTTAGTGGGGGGGGGGGGGGGGCGCTCAGCCTCCTTGAGCCCCCACGGACGAACTCTGCAGGTCTGTAACTCCACCACATTAGCTTCCAACTTTATGGCATTTATTTAAATGCGACAATGTGCGGTCCAGTCTGTTGCTGCGTTGTATTTGCCGGACTGTCAAGTCGCCCTGCACAGTCGCATCAGATCTCAGACGCTGAAGCTTGGCTTTAAGCTGAGCAGGACTTTTGTTTCGCGATGCTAGCCTGCTTAGCCTGCTTGGCTGATCACCCTGCTTGGCTGATCACCCTGCTTGGCTGATCACCGTAAGTAAACCAAGTCGTTCTAGGCTGCCACGGGACCGTGTTGAGGGCGGCAGTGCAACAAAATCCACCGTTGCACTGCACTCTTCTCCTACATCTATGCACCGGCCAGAAGGCGGTGGGACAACGGTGGATTCTTGCATCTGTGCGGAGTTTAGAGCAATTTAACCCCCCCTCCCCGACCCCCCTTGTGTATCCAATGACCTTACACACGAAGCCAAACACTCGTTAAAGTCATTAATTGCCCGAGTATCATAACGCGTGATGCAGGTGGAACTTGAGTCTGGTGACTCGGTGAAAGGCCGTCCTTGGAAAAAAAAATACCCATCATCAATATTACTAGTACAGGTTAAATCATGACACTTTGCCCCCAACTCCTCTTCACAATATCGCAGCACCCATGTTTTGTCTCCCCTTTGTGCTGCTCAATGCAAACAGGGGAGTGTGCGACACGCGTTCTTTAATTCAAGGGGCGTTTGTCTGAACGCGTTGCGCCGAGAGAGAAATAATCAAAAGGCTTCACCTCCACCGAGCAGTCCGGGCTGCGGGAGCTGACGCCCAGATTAAGTGCCGTGAATTGTTAGCACAAGTTTACGGCTGGCTGGGTGGTGGTGGCACGCCAAAGCTTCTTCACACGCGCCTCGTGCGCTTTGCGCGGAACGGCAGGGTTCACGTGCGAGGGTTCACGTGCGAGGGTTCAGTGCGAGGGTTCACGTGCGAGGGTTCAGTGCGATGTTTCACTACGAGGGTTCAGTGCGAGGGTTCAGTGCGAGGGAAGGATAGCGTGACATCCCCATCGTCATCCACGATGAACGCCTTGTCAAGAGGAGAAGTCTGCATGAGCACAGTGGGGCCACCAGGCGTGGTGGGATTTCGCACGCACGCACGTCCTCGTTGGCAAGAACGACGTGGAACTCCGATCGTTGGTTGGTTACGTGCGGTGCAACAGAAGTTGGACATACGTACGTACATTGTAACTCAGCTTTAAAGTTCAGACCTGTAGGGGTAGAACACGACCAACACCAGTGCGTTAATGATATCGCCATTAAGGTGCCGCAAGTGTGCGTGTTTGCCGAGATGATTCCTGATTCCCAAAACAGTTGTATCCAGCCGTGGAGTCACGGTCAGCACATTGGACCTGCAACCCAGAGGTCGCCCGTTCGATTTGACCTCCCGGCGTGGCAGCTGAAGCAACTGGCACGTTCTTAAATCGCCCCCCCCCCCCCCAGCTCTTTCC